GCCATGTGTTAGAAAAGGTGACTTATTTCCCAAGTCTGTTAAAGAGGAGAAATTACCAAAGGAAACTTAATAGTGGTCAGCAAAACAGGGACAGTTTAGAAATTTTCAAGAGATCATCAAAACAATCTGTGTGTGTGCACCTGTGTGTGACTATGCACTGATGCTTTTTTTGGCTTTCTTTCTTTTGTAAGCTTACCTGATTGGTCATTCACTTTTTAAAATCCTGCAGTTAAGTATAACCTTATTGGGTGAATATAAGGGCATAAAAAAAACAAGAACAATGCAGGAGAAGACATGAGAAAAAATGTGCCCGATGTTGAATTAAAATGCTTCTTTCTTCTGAACTTTCTTACTCAAATTCTGTAATTTGGGTAAGACAGATTCCATTTAGCATTGCATTTTATTTCCTTTAGAGCTTCTCCATGTGATGAAAGAGAGATTATGGGTGAACATTTGAGATAAACATGGTACTAGATCTCCTCCTCTCTCTTTATTTATTAAAAGAATGGATCATTTATTTATTTAAGACTAATATAGGATTGTATCTGTAATTCGTTTATCAACTTTAACGTTTCATTTGAGATCTAACAGAGATGGATCATTGGGTCATCATAATCTTTTAATTAGAAATACTATGTTAAGTGTACCCTTAAATGAACCCTAAAAATGTTCCTGGATTTCAACGACAGGTGTTACATTACAAAGCAAGTTAGTTTACTGACGATTTCAAGATTGCCTTGTGGTTTTTATGCTTCAGAGCATGAGATTTATTGGTAGTGACACAGGATTAAACCTGAGGATATATGATTACAAACGTCCACATGGCAAAGCTTGGCTTTCAAAATTCAAATTGTCTACAAAGTAGAAACTGCTATTTTTTGAAAGCCAAAGTAAAAAGTAAAAAATAAAGTATCATATCTCATTTATAGATCTTGTTCCTTCCTCTGAAAGATACTGAAAGCTTAGGTAGCAGAGTTGTTTTAAAGTATATTCTCTTTTACATTTAGGCAAAGATATGATTTAAGAGCGTGCTCGTCACTATAGCCATGCCTTTTATGCTGTGAGCTATTGAAATATGAATACACCACTAATTCTTTGCAACTACCAGACTGTAAATCAAACATGCCACTTAGTAAACGACCCTTATTCTTCATTTCTGTTCCTTATTAAAGAGTACTAGCTATTTGTGGAAACCACAAGAAAACATAGAAAGTTTGGAGAAAAATGTTTTAATCTGTCATTCCCCTAAGGCAATTTGCATCCTTTGAAGCTCTCTCTGTGTAATGAAACAAACAACTAGTAGGAAGGTGAAAATTTTACTGAAACAGTTTTTTAGAGTTTACATTTTTGTTTTTTTCATGGAGCGCTAAGTAATTGATGTTATTTTTCCTCATTGAATTCTCCAGTTGTTTTAATGATAGGTAATTAGAAAGAAAAATTCACTAAGAAATAAAATGGTTTCACAAAGTGATGAATTATAAAGATAATTTCTCTTGAGATACAGTAAATTTAGCAGTGACGCTAAAAAATTAATTCAGCCCAATCATAATAATAACAACTCCCATTTACTGAATATTTACTATGCACTGGCCACTCATCTGGCCCACTCAGAGCTGAGAATCCATTGGCTTCAGCAACAAGCAAGTCATTGCTGTTTGCCAAGATCACTTTCAGGAGAGTCGGGCTAGAAGCCAGGTTTCAATGGATTAAGAAGGAATGGGAAAGGAGAAAGTAGAAACAGCTATTATGGACACAAAATTACCCATGAAGGGAAAAAAGAAATTCCACAGAAGCTGACGGGAAATATGGAATTTAATAAGAAAAGTATTTTGTTGTTGTTGTTGTTGTTGTTTTAAGATAGGAGAGAATTGAGCACATACGAATGAAACCTGGAATAGCACTCTGAAAGTACAGAAAGGAAATAAGATAATCTACTGGGCAAGGCAACTAAGGGATTAGGAAGAGCAGGAGCGTTTCAGGAAATGATATCCTCTCTGTATTTCAGATTTCACTGAACCCTACTGGACGTATTTATCCTTGGGGATCTTATAAGCACCTCAACTCATCAACTCCACTTCCACCCCCAAACCCTCGGATTTTGCTTTCTTTCTTGAAAAATTGCACCATTATCCACCTACATTCCTAAACCAAAAATCTAGACCTGATGCTGGATCATCCCTTTTTCTATCCCTGCATCTTATTACCAACTTATGTTCATTTTATCTTTTAAAAATAGGTATTTTGGGGCCGGGCGCCGTGGCTCAAGCCTGTAATCCCAGCACTTTGGGAGGCTGAGACGGGCGGATCATGAGGTCAGGAGATCGAGACCATCCTGGCTAACACGGTGAAACCCCGTCTCTACTAAAAAAAAATACAAAAAAATAGCCGGGCGAGGTGGCGGGCGCCTGTAGTCCCAGCTACTGGGGAGGCTGAGGCAGGAGAATGGCGGGAACCCACGAGGCGGAGTTTGCAGTGAGCTGAGATCCCGCCACTGCACTCCAGCCTGGGCAACAGAGCGAGACTCCATCTCAAAAAAAAAAAAAAATAGGTATTTTAATAACAGATGCTGGTAAGGCTGTGGAGAAATAGGAATGCTTTTACATTGTTGGTGGGAATGTAAATTAGTTCAAGCACTGTGGGAGACAGTGTGGCAATTCCTCAAGGATCTAGAACTAGAAATACCATTTGACCCAGCAATCCCATTACTGGGTATATAACCAAGGAAATAGAAATCATATTATTATAAAGATACATGCACACGTATGTTCACTCTAGCACTAGTCTTAATAGCAAAGACATGGAATCAACCCACATGCTCATCAATGATAGACTGAATAAAGAAAATATGGTACATATACACCATGGAATACTATGCAGCCCTGAAAAGAAATGAGACCATGTTCTTTGCAGGGACATGGATGGAGCTGGAAGCCATTATCCTCAGCAAACTAACACAAGAACAGAAAACCAAACACCACATGCCCTCACTTATAAGTGGGAACTGAACAATGACAACATATAAACACAGGGAAGGGGACAATACACACTAGGGCCTGTTGGGGGGGCAGGGGGAGGGAGAGCATTAGGATACATAGCTAATGCATGAGAGGCTTAATACCTAGGTGATGGGTTGATAGGTGCTGCAAACCACCATGGCACATGTTTACATATGTAACAAACCTGCATGTCCCATACATGTATCCTAGAACTTACAAGGAAAGAAAATAAAATTTTTAAAAGTAGATATTTTATTTCTTCTGAAGATTTTTTCCTGTATATCCAAGATTTAAATATTCAAGTCCAGGTTAGGTGTCCTATAATATCCATTGGAATCTCATCAGAAAAACTACTCTAGGTATTCCAGCCTAAGGGATTTAATACAAGGAAATAATTGTACAGAGGAAGAAAGAATTGAGAAGTTGAGGCAACTGAGTGAATAACACAAGAGAGCAAACTACCACCTCTAGAGTTTGAGGAACCAGTAGAAGTATCATTACTAGAAACAATGGTATAGTGGTTCGTGCTTAACACCCAGCTGTCTGGGGATAAACAAAACTTTACTGCCAATTTCTGTGGTGTTAATATCATACCATGGCTGATTTCAAGATAGCAACATTTCACTAAACGCAGAGCTGGGGAGATGAAGAGATTCAGCTCTTATGAGTTCACACACCAGAAACCAGAAGCTGAGCCTGTCAAGCAGAATTTGGAGCCGTGCAAAAGACGCTGCTGTTTCCAAAATGCTGCCTGAGTAGAGCAAGAGGACAAGTACATTGGCTTCTACAATCCTCCCATCTTTCATTCTCCTTTTGATTCCTTCCTTCGGTCAAACTCAGCCAAAATCGTGCCAAGCCTGGGAAATGTAGCCTGAAAGTTTATGTCTCTGAGATACAGAGCAGAGCTGCAGTAGGGCAAGGAATGGATTCAAGAACCAATGGTTAAAAGACTGACACCCACACCTAAGGGCTCTTGGAGAACTTCTACCTCCATTATAACTCATCTATATGTTCTGTGAAGACGGGGACCACTGCATAGCCCAGAGGCTAACATTCATCAAGCATCAATAAATATTTTACAGAATAAATGAATGATTTATTAGCAAATATAATGTCAGCATTTAATAATCAGAAAATCTGTGCTTCTTTGTGTATATATGACTTCCTATGAAATTGCCACATTTCTTGGTATAGTGGAGCTATAACTTGTCAAAATAGCACACACAAGTATTATGGTGTTTGACCTTCTCTAATAATTCTCATTTGTGCCTTATCCCTTTCATCCCATCCCATACAGTTTGTTGGAAAACTGAAAGCTTTTGTTTGATCTGAAGGCTCTTGTAATTTAAACATTTCCAAATTATTTACAAATTGACGTCTTAAGAATTATCACTAACCCGGTATATTCTACAAGTTCTCTATCCATCTGGGACATCCATCCATTACCTCTCCATCTGGCAACTCCAAAGCCCTTAGTTAGAATCTTCATCTCTATTGCTAGTTCCTGCCGACGGACAAACTGTTTCAATTTCCACCAGTCCTATGTCTGGTCCGACTTCTGTTTCTAGCTACAGTCAACAGAGTCAAATGTGTTCCATTTGAAGGACCATATTTGTAGTATAATTTTCCTGTGGATCTAATCCCAATGGTGCCTTTGATTCATGTGCCTGCCTTTGTTCAAATATATATTTAGATTGATTTATAAATCTTGCCAAATATGAGCAAAGTTGGAAATCTGTTAAAGTAGTATGGATAGATTTAATCACTAGTATATTATTGCAATAAAAAGTCCAGCCTGACTTGAACTCAGATTTGATTTGTATAGAAGCAACAGAGTGTTTTAAAGGGGGAATTAAGAAACAGGGAGGTGGAAAGGCAGAGCAAGATAACGAATAGAAGCCTCCACCAATTATTCTTCCTGTAAGAACACCAACTTTGACAATTCTCTACACACAGAAAAAGCACCTACATAAGAACCGACAATCAAGAAAGCGATCACAGTACCTGGTTTTAACTTCATATTGCTGAAAGAAGAACTGAAGAAGGTGGAAAACACGGTCTTGAATGGCTGAGCCACCTCTCTCCCATCCCCCAGCAATGGATGTGTGGTGTGGAGAGAGAATCTGTGCACTTGTGGGAGGGAGAGCACAGTGATTGTGCAACTTTGCATTGAAACTCAGTGCAGCCAATACCAGGCAGAGCTCAGTGGATGCCCACAAAGGGAGCATTCAGACCAGCTCTATCAGGAGAAGAATTGTCCATTTCAGCAGTTGGAGCTTGAGTTTCAGCAATCCTCATCATCATGGGCTAAGGGGCTCTGGGGTTCTGAAATAACTTTTTTGTTTTTTGAGATGGAGTTTTTTGCTCTTGTTGCCCAGGCTGGAGTGCAATGTTACGATCTTGGCTCACTGCAACCTCCACCTCCTGGGTTCAAGAGATTTTCCTGCCTCAGCCTCCTGAATAGCTGGGATTACAAGCACCCACTACCACAGTCAGCTAATTTTTTATGTTTTTAGTAGAGACAGGGTTTCACCATGTTGTCCAGGCTCATTTTGAACTCCTGACCTCAGATGATCCACCCACCTCAGTCTCTCAAAGTGCTGGGATTACAGGCATGAGCCACCACGCACAGCCCTAAATTAACTCTAAAGCCTGTCTAGATCACAAGGACTGCAACTCCTAGGCAGGTCCTACTGCCGTGCTGGCCTCGGAGCCAGTGGACTTGGTGGGGCACATGACCTACTGAGGCACCAGTTAGGATGGCTAAGGCAGTGCTCGCATCACCCCTCCCCCAGCCTCAGGCAGCACAGTGTGCAGCTCCAAAAGAGACCCCTTTCTTTTACTTGAGGGGAAGAGAGGGAAGAGTAATGAGGACTTTGTCTTGCAGCTTGTATTCCAGCCCAGCCACTTTAGAATAAGGCATCAGGCAGAGCCCTGAGTCTCCTCTTCCAGGCCCTAGCTCCTGGATAGCATTTCCAGACATACCGTGGGCCAGAAGGGACTCTAGTGCCCTGCAGGGAAGGACCCATACCTGGTAGAATTCATCACCTGCTCACTAAAGAGACCTTGGGCTCGGAATAATCAGCAGCAGTAACTAGATAGTACACACCATAGGCCTTGGGGCGAGGCTCCTCTGCTTGTGGAAAGGGGAGAAAAGAGTGGGAAGAACTGCATCTCATGGTTTGAGTGCCAGCTCAGCCACAGTATAAAAGAACACCAGGTAGATTTCTAAGTCTTCCAACTCCAGGCCCTGGCTCCCAAACAGCATCTCTGGACCTGCCAGGGGCCCAGAGTAACTAACTGCCCTGAAGAGAAGGACACAAAACTGGCTGACTTTGCCACCTGCTGATTGTATGACCCTAGGGCCTTGAGCGAACATAGGTGGTACAGGCAGTGGTTACAGCAGGCCTCAGGCAAGACCCATTGCTGTGCTGGCTGCAGCACAATCCCAGTGGTGGTGAAAAAAGGAGAGAATATCAAAATAAATAAAATAAAAGATGAGAAAGGAGACATTATAACTGATAAAACAGAAATCCAAAGGAACATTAGAGCCTACTATAAGCAACTCTATGCCAATAAATGGGAAAATCTAGAAGAAATGGACAAATGCCTAGACAAACAACCTACCAAGACTGAACCAAGAAGACATAAAAAACCTGAACAGACCAATAACAAATAACGAGATCAAAGCCTAAAGAAAATCTCCCAAAAAAGAAAAACCTGGGGCCCAAAGCCTTCACGGCAAAATTTTACCAAACATTTAAAAAAGAACTAATACCAATCCTACTCAAACTATTGTTTAAAAAAAAAAATAGAGGTGAAGGGAATTCGTCCAAACTCATTCTTTGTTGCCAGTATTACCCTGATACCAAAACCAGACAAAGACACATCAAGAAAAGAAAACAACAGGCTGATATCTCTGATGAACATTGACGCAAAAATCTTCAACAAAATACTAGCAAACAAAATTCAACACAACATTAGAAAGATCATTCATCATGACTAACTGGAATGTATCCGTGAGATGCAAGGATGGTTCAACATATACAAATCAATCAATGAGATATATCAAACCAACAGAATGAATGAACAGCAGAAACCATAAGATCATTTAAATTGATGCTGAAAAAGCATTTGATAAAATTCAACATCCCTTTCTGATAAAAACTCTCAAAAAACTTGGTGTAGAAAGAATATACCTCAACATAATAAAAGCTGTACATGATAGACCCACAGTTAATATCATGCTAAATTAGGAAAAACTGAAAGCTTTGAAGGTCTGAAACACAACAAGGATGCCCACTTCCACCACTATTATTCAACATAGTACTGAAATCTCTAGCTAGAGCAATCAGACAAGAGAAAGAAATAAAGGTCATCTAAATAGGAAAGAAAAAAGTCGAATTATCCTTGTTCATTGATGATATGATCTTATATTTGGAAAAACCTAAAGACTCCACCAAGAAACTATTTGAATTGAAAAACAAATTTAGTAAAGTTACAGGATACAAAATCAACATATGAAAATCAGCCGTATTTCTACATGCCAACAGTGAACAATCTGAAAAAGAAATCAAGAAAGTAGTAATTCCATTTACAATAGCTGCAAATGAAATTAAATGCCTAGGAATTAACCAAAGAAGTGGAAGGGCTCTACAATAAAAACTATAAAACATTGTGAAAGAAATTAAAGATGACACAGAAAAAATGGAAAGATACTTCACGTTCATGGATTGGAAGAATCAATATTTAAAATGTCCGTGCTACCCAAAGCAATCTGCAGATTCAATGGAATCTCTATCAAAATACCAATAACATGCTTCATATAAACATAAAAAAATCCTAAAATTTATATGGAACCACAAAAGACCCAGAATAGCCAAAACTATCCTGAGCAAAAAGAACAAAGCTGGAGGAATCATATTACCTGATTTCAACTCATACTGCAGAGCTATAGTAACCAAAACGGGATGCTACTAGCATAAAAACAGACACATAGACCAATGGAACAGAATAGAGAACCCAGAAACAAATTCATACATCTGCAGTGACATCATTTTTGACAAAGGTGCTGAAAACACACACTGGGAAAAGGATGGTGTCTTTAATAAATTGTTCTTGGAAAACTGGATATCCATATGCAGAAGCATGAAACTAGACTCTTCTTTCCATATACAAAATTCAAATCAAAATGGATGAAAGACTTCAATCTAAGGCATAAAACCATGAAACTACCACAAGAAAATATTGGAGAAAATCTCCAGGACATTAGTTTGGGCAATTATTTTTTAGTACAACTCCACAAGCACAGGCAACCGAAGCAAAAATGGACAAATATGATCGCATCAAGTTAAAAAGCTTATGCACGGCAAAGAACACAATCAACAAAGTGAAAAGACAACCTACAGAAAGGGAGAAAATATTTGCAAACTACCCATCTGACAAAGGATTCAAAACTCTATAAGAAAAAAATCTAATAATCCATTTAAAAATAGGCAAAATATCTGAATAGATATTTTTCAAAAGAAGACATACAAATGGCAAATTAAAAATTGCTTATCATCATTGATCATCAGAGAAATGCAAATCAACTACAATGAGATATCATCTCAATTCAGATAAAATGGCTTATATCCAAAAGAGAGGCAATAACAAATACTGGCGAGGATGTGGAGAAAAGGGAACCCTTGCACATGTTGGTGAGAATATAAATTAGTACAACCACTATGAAGAACAGTATGAAGCTTCCTCAAAATGTAAAAATAGAGCTTGTATACAACCCAGCAATCCCACTACTAGGTATACACCCAAAATAAAGAAAATCAGTATATTGCAGAGATATTTGCACTCCCATGCTTATTGCAGCACTATTCATAATGGCCAAGATTTGGAGGCATCCTAAATGTCCATCAACAGATGAATGGATAAAGAAAAGATGGTGTATATACACAATGGATTACTATTCAGCCATAAAAAGGAGATCCTGTCGTTTACAACAACATAGAACTGGAGGTCATTACATTAAGTGAAATAAGCCACAGAAAGACAAACTTCCCATGTTTTCACTTATTTGTGGAGCTAAAAATTAAAAGAGTTGAATTCATGGAGATAGAGAGTAGAATGATGGTGGGGGAAGGGGTGATGATCAATGGGTACAAAGAAATAGAAAGAATGAATAAGATCTAATAATTGACAGCACCATAAGGTGACTATAGTCAATAATAATTTAATTGTACATTTTAAAATAACTAGAAGAGTATAATTGTATTGTTCGTAATACAAAGCATAAACACTTGAGGTGATGGATACCCCCATTTACCCTGATGTGAGGATTATACATTATATGTCTGTATCAAGATATCCCATATATCCCATAAATAGATATACCTACTATGTACTCACAAAAATTTTTTTTTTATTTCAGTAAATAAAAATAAAAAAGAAACAGGGAGTAGGTGATCAGGGCCTCAATATAGTCAAGAAGGTGAAAAGTTACCAAAACGGGGAAGCAGTATAGGTCCATGTGAAACCCACCTGGGTTTGTTAATTGGCACTTACTGAATTTAGGTTCTCATGAAGGCTGGGCAAAAGGGACCCTATCTTTAAGTGTTGGCTGAAACAAAGAGTAAATTAACTTGCCAGCCTTGAGTTTTCTCAGTCAAGTACTTTAAGGGGGGTTAGGATCGTCCTAGGGATGAGAGCATAAGCTGTTAGAAACTATGTTAATGTTATAAGACTTTGTAGGCCAAGGTTGAGGCCTAGTCCACAGTAAGGATCAAAGAAGCCTGGTTAGAACTTGGTCAAAGAGAGAATCTTTGTCAGTCTCCAGCCAAAGTCCACTCTCAGCTCACTCTCACTAGCTATCCTCTCTATCAGAAAGTATAAGAAGGCCATTAAAATCAGAGTTAAATGTCTTCTCCACCTATAGCACAAGCTCTCTTAGAGCAGAAACTAGGTTTATTATACTTCTGAACTACTTCCCCTGTAAATTTATCAATTTTTCTCCACATTCACTGCCATCCAGTAGTAGATCAAATGGTAGGTGAGCTCTTCCTCTGGTGCAAGCAGTTAAAAGAGGTACATTATTTATAGAGCATTTTAAAGCATCTGTTTTTATGATTATCATATGCTGGTGATTCTAAACAATTTTATCATTTTATCAGTGATAAAAATACTT